TCATCAGAAGAATCTGATGCTAAGCAAAATTATTAACCAGCACAATTAGTGAAAACATGCTGGTCTAACAGGTAAAGCCTCTGTACAAGACAAACATTAACATATCTTCAAATTTTTGTAATTAATAGGTGTTGCCTCATTTACAATATCCTTTCCAGCTCTTCCATTCTACAAATTTGTGGTGTCACGCTTAATAAGAACACAGCACTGATTTTCCCTGCCAGATCTTTCATTAGCAAAACGGTTATCATACAAACTTGGAAAAAGCCAGCAGAAGTTATATTTAAAACATATCATATTATTGGTATTATAATTTATAATATTAAGAATCTAAGTTTCTAAATACAGTAAGATTCGTAGTTACCTTTAATCTGGCTTCAATAATTTTAGTAAGGGTAAGGCAGTCTCCATGGAAACCAGTGCATCCAATGACAGTTTGTTCTGTTCTGAAAAACATAACATTTTGTTGCAATTTTAGACTTAGCATGAACTACAGCAATTTCTTATACAGTAGGTTACTATGAAAACACCAAATGTATTTTCAGGTTTCTTTCCAGAGGGCTGCATTAAGCTTGTACAATGGTTACGTGACATTTATGGCTTTGGTGGCTTCTGTCAGCACAAACAGAAGTTATGTGGCTGCAGATGCACTACAGAAGCTTGGCTCTCTGCTCAGTTTTGAAATGTTTTATGAACACTAACCATGGAAACACACACTTGAAATTTTAATTCCAGGAATTAGAAAAGAGTCTAGAAACATTAACACACACGGACCAACCCAAAGCAGTCATTCAGAAAAAATCTTAAAACAAAGTCTTCTCTCAGCCTGTCACTAGAATGACACAAAGCCATCATGTGCAGTATGTATCCTGCGCCAGACTAATCTCCATCTGGACAGTATCAGAGTCAAACATATAGCAGTAACAAGTTAGCCAGCAGAAACCAAGCTATTTTGATTTCATGTCATCAATTTAGAAAAAGAAACAATAACCCAGACCAAAAAAAAAAAAGTTTATGTAGTTGATGACAGCTTACAAGGCAAGGACCTGCTGCAGTAAAATGAACATAAGTAATGTGTAGCTGTAAACTATGGAGATGCTACCCAGGTGAGTTAAACTAAGCCTAAAATGAGCACAGAAAGTTCAATTATGGAACTACTCATAGGTTTACCTCCCTTAAAACAAATACCTTTCTAAATTGCCAGGTAATTAACCAGAGAAATACAGTACAACTGGCAGCAGTGGGCACACTTGTGTACCATCACCAGATCTCCTGACAAAGCAGAATGAGTTATCATAGAATTAGGTTTAGCTACAGTTAATTTTTTTTCTGATTATCCAGCCAAAAAACTCCATGTTAAGGTTTGTATCACGTGAAAAATGTTCTGTTCTCACTTAACTTCAAGAGCATGAAACAAGAAATCTGGCTATATTTACAACATCACATCACATCCTACATTACAGCAAAGGTCACCGCGACTCCAAAATCTACTTTGTTACTGTGCTTTTTTTTCTAAGAATTCTGCTTAAAGTAGGAGACAGGTGACATGGTCAGCAGTATATTTTCCATCTTTTTCAATCCTTGCAGATCTGGACTTACAGCTTGTAGCATTTGGGGCTGTCCCGGGAGTGAATGGAGTAGCCTTCACTCAGACGTGTGTCAGAGGCAACGATGCAGAAGTCTTCTCCAGCAATCGCCAGCACCGTCCTTCAAAAAAGAGTATTGATAAATCATGGCCTTCAGCACAAGCATCTTCTTAGGCAACACAGAATCAAACTAGATAGCAATTCTACACCCAGCCTCACGTTTTGTCAAGTATCTTACATTCCTTGCTATGTTTCCCACTATGCACATCCCTACATCTTTCACTCTGTCTAGTGAAGAAGACACTAGACAGACTGAAGAAAATATATGCATGTGCTCCTCTACTCTGATTTAAACTGTAAGGAAACTTGGTAAAACAGAGACTCTACACCAGGCAAGAACCAGATCCAATGGATGAGGTATTTTATATGCCTAATAATAACTCATCCTTCTAAAACAAGCAAAGTACTGAGCAATAGTATCACTACACTAAAATAAATCTCACTTTTAAAATCTGGTGTTATTACTTCCTAACAACTAGTATTGTGATCACCACAGGTGTACCACCATTAAGTAACAAATAGGCCCTTTAAAAAGGAGTAGTCATCATAAGAAAAAATAAACTTACCTGCCCAGATCATGCCACCAACTTAGGTATGTAAAACATCACCTGTCTTTAAGAGTTACAGCAAGGTAGCATCCAACCCAGTAACACGTTTACTAGCAACATGGTAAAAAGCAAAGGCCATAAACTAAAACACAAGAAATTCCACCTCAACATGAGGAAGAACTTTAAGCTGAGGGTGGCAGAGCACTGGAACAGGCTGCCCAGGGAAGTCATGGAGTCTCCCTCTCTGAAGGCATTCAAAACCCACCTGAAGGTGTTCTGGTGTCACCTGCTCGAGGTGACCCTGCCTTAGCAGAGGGGTTGGACTGGATGATCTCCTAACCCATCCAGCCCTAACAACTCCGTGATTCTGTAATAGGACCATTGCCTGGGTTTCCTAAGCCACTATAAAGAAACAACGCTGCCGGCAACGAAAGATGCGTACTTTAAGACCAGTCAACGTTTAGGGAGCCCGAGTGTTGCAAAAGCCACACGGACAGGCAAGAACACCCTGAAAGGCTGCAAGGCCTCAAGGTAAGCCCGAGCCCAGCTCCTCCTTGTGCTGCCGCTCTCTCCCTACAAAGAGGAGATCGTGAGGGGAGATAAACCCGCACTGAGCACCGAGGAGAAGCAGGAGTAAGGCGAGGCAGCCCCGGCGCCGCTGTCCCCTGGGCCCGATGCCCCCGGCCGAGGGTGCCCTGTCCCGCCCGCTGCCCGCCTGGCCCTCACCCTCCGTTGAAGGTGTACGGCGAGAAGCGGTAGTGCTGCACGGGCGCCTCCAGCCCGCAGCCCACCTCGGGCCGGGAGGGCCCGCATCCCGCGGTGGACAGCATCGCGGCCGCCGATCGCTGCTGTCTCACGGCGAAATGGCGGCACCGGAGGCGGAAGCGGAGCCGCTCTGGGAGGGCAGGGCAGGGCAGCGCCGCCTCCTCTCGGCTGCTCTGCCGGGCGGCGAGCGCCGGGGCCTGGCCGGAGGGCGGCAGGGCCGCCGTGGAGCGGAACCCGCCTGCGGCAGGGGATGTGCCTGGGGCCCGGGGCAGCGCCTGGACAAGAGCCGGTGCCGGCACTGCCCTGCGTGCCCGCTGGTGGGAACGCGCAGGCTGCTCAGTCGTGAGGCCATCGCACACCGCTCGTGTTTGGGCAGCAGCGTAGCTCCTGCTTTGTAGGGGAGAGCGCCTTTAGAACCGCCGTGAAGAGCAGGAGTCGGGACTCATAGAATCATCGGGTGGTTGGAGTGGGAAGGGACCTTAAAGATCATCTAGTCCTGTCACGGGCAGGGACACCTTTCACTGGACCAAGGCGCTCAGAGCTCCGTCCTGCATTGAACATTTACAGGGATGGGGCACCCACAAATTCCCGGGGCAACCTGTGCCAGTATCGCACCACTCTCAAGCAAAGAACTTCCTCCTAATATCCAATCTAAACCACCTCTCTTTCAGTTTGAGGCCATTCTTCCTCGTCCTGTCACTACACGCTCTTGTGAAAAGTCCCTCTCCATCTTTCTAGTAGGTCACCCTGAAGCCTTCTCTTATCTAGGCTGAATAATCAAATTATCTCAGCCTTTCCTTGTGCTTCATCCCTCTAAGCATCTTGGTGGCTCCTCTGGACTTGTTCCAACAGGTCCAGGCCTTTCATGAGCTGGACAGAGTACTCCAGATGGGGTCTCACCAAGTCCTCGAGGTGGGCCACGGGGTGTGGTGCCAGGCACCATGGCAAAAGTGGAAACAAGTGGGAAGGGCTGGGAAAGAAGCTCGAAGAGGTACTAGGGGAGTACAGGGTGAGGACAGTGAGACACAGGAGACAAGTGGTGCTCCTGAGGAGAAGTGTGTTGCCCTGCTCAGGAAGCACAGCTGCAGAGGCTGCAGTCTCCATGGGCACTGTGCAGACACAGCAGCGAGATCTGCAGCACAACAGTGCGGAACTCTGTACAGCTTCAGAGTGAGGAACCACAGCTTCTGTGAGGGGCTGGTGCACTGCCAGGGAACCCCACAGATTACAGGATCTGGAAGGGACCACAGGGGGTCATGTGGGGCAACCTTTCTGCTCAAGCAGGGTCGTCCTAGAGCACCTGGCACAGGGTTGTGTCCAGATGGTTCTTGAACATCTCCAGTGAGGGAGACTCCACAACCTCTCAGGACAACCTGTTCCAGTGTGTAGTCACCTGCACAGTAAAGAAGTTCTTCCTCATATCCAGGTGGAACTTCCTGTACATCAGTATCTGCCAATTTCCTCTTGTCCTATTGTGTGGCACCACCAAGATGGGCCTGGATGAATCCTCTTCACAACCACCCTTTAGATATTTATTCACATTTATGAGGCTCCCTTTCAGACATCCCTTCGCAAGGCTGAACAGGCCCAGGTCCCTCAGCCTTTCCTCATAAGTGGATGCTCCAAACCCTTAATTGTCTCTGTAGTCCTCTGCTGCATCTGCTCCAGGAGCTCCATATCTCTCCTGTCCTGAGGAGCCCAGAACAGGACACAGCACTCCAGATGTGCCTCAGCAGGGCTGAGTAGAGGGGCAGGATTGACCTGCTGGCAATGCTCTTCCTAATTCATCCAGGATAGCACTGGCCTTCTTGGCCACAAGGGCACTGCTGGCTCATGGACAGCCTGTTTGCACCAGGAGCCCTTCTCCACAGAGCTGCCTCCCAGCGGGCCGGCCCCAGCCTGTGCTGGTGCATGTGGTCACGCCGGTGCAGGTGCAGGACCCAGCACTTGCCCCTGTTGGATTTCCGAAGGTTCCTCCCCACGAAGGCTCCTGTCCCGCTGGCGGCGGGAAGTGACGCGCCGGGCGCGCCGGTGGCGCGGGGGCGGGGCGCGGCCGGGCTCCGGCGGGCGCGGAGCGCGGCGGGAGCGGAACGAGCGCCAGGTACCGAGTGCCCGCCGCTCCCCCGCGGCCGCCGCTCGCCCCTGCCCGCGGCCGGCCCGCTGGGGCGCGATGGTGCGGGGCAGGCCGGGCCTGGAGGGCGGGGATGGTGCGCGGGCCGGGCTCGCTCCGCACTCCGGGGCGGCCTGAGCCGCGGCCGGGGGAGCGGGGAGGGACTCCCGTGGCGCGGAGGCGGCGGCCGCCTTTCTCTCCGCCGCCGCGGGCAGGGGGCGGCGGGCGCGGGATGGGCGCGGGCGGCGGCGGGACTCTGCGAGGGCGGGCGGGGGCTGCGCGGGGCCGGGGCCGCTGTGGGCGGGCAGCGAGCAGGGCCGGGGGCGCGGGCGGGCTGTGGCCGCACGCCGGGCGCTGCCGTGTGGCGGGGAGCGAGCCCGAAAGGGGCCTCGGGTGGGTCGGGGCCTCCTCCGGGCTGGCTCCGGCTGCTGGACTCTGTTCCCTGGACCGAAACGGCGCCCGGCGTTTGTAGTGGAGATCCGAGCAAGCCGCGTTAAGTGGGTAGAGGAGGGAGCTCTGCGTAGTCGGTGCCCTGCGTGCAGGTTTTGGCATGCCTGGTATCCAGCGTCCTTACTAAATAGCTGGGCTGTCGAGGAGTTGACTTTGTTTCTTCCAGGATTATGTTTAGGCCTCTAATGTACCCACGTTGTAAAACCTGGGTGATAAAACCTGGCTCGATACCTTTGGTGAAGGTAAAGATGATAATGACTTATGGTCATGGGTGGAAAAAACCAGACATTTTTAGCTACAGTGTAAATACTATTGTAGTTCTAAGCTCTCATATCTTAAAAAAAGGAGAGGCTCAATAGGCTGTCTTCAGATTTTGAGGTAGCCTACCTCTGGCCTAATAATGACCTTGAGTATTTCTTAGCAATAATTAAGAAACTTAAAAATTAATGGGTAATATTTTACATCATTGGTATCATAACATTTAAATTCTCCACTTCTGTTGTTTTTTCCATAACACAGCAACAGAAGTATAGTTAAAAAATGAGAGAAAATCATTGCATGTTTCACTTGTGTACTTGAAATTGGTTTTCACATGTTTCTTTTTTCCTCATGAAATGCATATCATTACAGTTTGAAATCTGTTAGGGCTTTGTTTTGTGGAATTGGATGGAAGAGGTTTCCCTAGCTGTGATTTGAGCTCCGATGCTTTTCTCATAGAAGAAAAAAAGTGATTTTTGAAAGCCCAAGCCTTAAAATGGCCAGGAAAAGACTTACAAGCAATGTCAATTAGTAGCCAAGGGAATTAAATTCTTTAAAAAATCAGTGCTTTTGCAGCTAAAGGAAGCTTGGAGTAGAAGGAGCATCAGCAGCTTGAGCTGTTTGTGCAGGAGGGTTTGGTTGGACAGAGGCCTGCCCATGTGAGTCAGGTGATGTGCCAGGGACTTCAGCAGAATCATGCTGCAAAGTTTCTGTGGAGTGTGCCTGAAAAAGGTTATTTTTGTGGATTGTGCATGCGTGTGTGCGTACGCGTGAATGTTCTTATATGTGTTTGTATGTGGGTGTCTCTTATCTGAGTCAGCAGCTGATAGGCTTGCTTTTGGGTTTGTATTTAGATATTATTCTCAGGATATTCCTTTTTTTCTTTCCAGGCTTTGGTTGGTGTTGTAGACTCATATTTCTCTGAAGCTGATGTTTTCCTAACACTTTCAGCTTAGCTTTAAAAGCTGCTTCGCTGGAATGTTTTAAACGGTTAAAAAACCTCTAGGATTTGAAGGTTATTTAAATTAATTGAAGGAAGTACTTCTGGCCTCACCAAAGAAATAACTGGAATCATGGATCAGAACAACAGTTTGCCACCCTACGCTCAAGGCTTAGCCTCCCCTCAGGTAAAAACAAATTATTTAAAAAGTAACTATGATCTGAATTTCTTTATGAAAGTGCTTTCTCTTTCTTGCATCTAGCTTCACATTTTTTTGTTTGCAGATCTGAAAAATTCTGCTAGGGATTGAATAATACTAGTATAAGGCAGAATTTTGAATCTGTTGATGTCTATATTCAGAAGTATAAGAAACACGTGGTTTCTCATACGTGGAATTTATGTGGGATTTCTTGATGGGATTCCTCTTAAGTTGAAACATGACTGACAACTTGGAAAGATTAATTTAATTTTGGTGGTTGCTCCTTAAAATTTGTACATAATGGATTGTTACTGGGCTATGAATACAGTGGATACAGTGAGCACAGTTGGTGTTCAGACAATTTCAAGTTAAATTGTGGGTCAAAGATGAGACATGCTTGCAAGGCAGTGTGAGAAGTATGTCATGTTCCCTAAATTCCTTTGGGTAGTACTTTATTCTATAGAACATCTGCATTTCCAAGGATTTTCTGATTTTAATTATTTACTACAATATGCTTCAGGTTTGATATGAGCAACTCAGCTAACACAGATTTATTTTTGATTCCTCCCGAAAACTTTGTCTCTTAAAAACAAAATGGAGTCATCATGATCTGTGGTTTTCATGTCATGTTTGCTTGTGCAGGGTGCAATGACTCCAGGAATTCCAATTTTCAGCCCGATGATGCCGTATGGCACAGGACTGACACCGCAGCCTGTCCAGAGCACCAACAGTCTGTCCATCCTGGAGGAGCAGCAGCGGCAGCAGCAGCAGCAGCAAGCAGCACAGCAATCCACGTCACAGCAAGCCACACAGGGAACATCTGGTCAAACCCCCCAGCTCTTCCATTCACAGACTCTTACCACAGCCCCCTTACCAGGAACCACCCCTCTGTACTCCTCTCCAATGACTCCAATGACTCCAATAACTCCTGCGACACCGGCGTCGGAGAGCTCTGGCATAGTGCCACAACTACAGTGAGTGCCCCTGTGTCAGTGCATCATGTCCTGTCTCAGATAGCCCTTTAAAGAAAGACTTAGGACCAAAGTCACATCAGGAATTAGGTACTGCATTTTGGTGGGAAGGGAGGTCCTGAGAATTTATGAGTCTCCTGTAGCAATATGAGTAATTTTTACTTTTATTTTTAGCTTAGCTTCATTACTAAGCCACTTAGTAATATAAACAGTTTCTTAGTGATTTGTCAACGGTACATCTTGGGAGCATACCAGTGGAGGGTTATATGTCTTCATTTAGCACCATCATAATTTTTAACTCCTTGCAGTTTAGGAGTTCAAGATGTTTCCTTTCCCAATGCTTGCCTAACGCTGAGTTTGTGAGAAGGTAAAAAACCCTAGAACTAGTTGGAAGAACCCTAGAACTAGGTGTGGAAATATTTTCAGTGAACTTCAGTTTTAAAGAGACTACTTCAGAAATTTTTGGCTGGGACAAGGAGAAATGGTTGATACCAAGAATTGAAAGAGTAGTTTCTCATATTTTTCTGACTTTTTTTCCCTCACTGAGGACCTTTATATTTCAGGGTTTTCCCAGAAAACAAAATTGTTTATCTAGTAACTTTTTTAAACTATCTAGAGACCTGCTATCCCATCTCCTGGCAATGCATTTACCTCCTGGGTCATTCCCACTTAGTTTTGCACTCTCTTCCTTGAAGGGCATAGCAAGGAAAATTTCAGATGGTACTGTCTCATTTTCTCCTGTTTCCAGCAGCTTCCCTGATTGTGGTGAGGGCTCTCAGCATCAGTAATTTTTCCTCCCAAACTGAAATAGAGGTTCTTCTCATGGGACACTCTTTATAATAGCTGACAGATAAGGAGGAATCAGCAATTATGCCTTAGGAGCTTCTGCCCTACAAAAGGACATTCCTGAGCCAAAACATTGCTCAGTGCTCATGTTAGGAAAGATGCCATTCAAACTTGCTTGGAGAAACAAAATAATTTTAAAAAATTGATTAGGCTTGGTTAAAAATGAGGAAGACACATGAATTCCTTATTGTTTTTTTAAATATATTTCTGTGATCTGTCTTTAGGAATATTGTGTCTACAGTGAATCTTGGTTGCAAACTTGACCTGAAAACTATTGCACTTCGTGCCCGAAATGCTGAATATAATCCTAAGGTAAGAGAAATGTATTAAGAGTTCATCCTATAACAGATAAATTAAAGGCACAGGTTGTGGCTGCAGGCTGCTGCAATAGACTGAAAAACCTACCTGCTATATTTGCAGTTTTACACTGTGGTTAAAAGGGTAATCTTAATAAACTTAGGACATTCAAATTAGTAAAAAGCATTTTTATGCTGAGGTAGCTGTGATGTGCACCAGGTTGTAAGTTGTTAGATTTAGAAAAAACCTAATCAAGAGTGTAATACACTCGCCTAGCTTTTGGTGGTGGAGGTGGCCTCTGCTGCTGTTCATATGGGCATATTTGTTTGTAGTGCTCAGTGAGCTCCTTTTGCTTATTACTGTGAAATGTCTGATGATGAAATCTTTTTCTCTGTCTCCCAACAAGGAGAAGGGAAAGAAGAGTTAAAATCCTGGACTTCTGCCAGAGCTGTGGTTTCCTCCACCTAGCTGCTCCTCTGGAATTCTTACAGTCCCAGGGCATTCACTTATTTTTCATAGTCTCACTTCCCTCTGTTCTCTCATGTTCTCCTCCAGTACTTCTGCCATCTCATTGCTTCTGATGGCCAACTTGGTGGAACATTAAAATGGATCAAAACAAAACCAATTAAATTGATTTTTTTGCATACTGACTTCAAAGTTGCCTGCTGCTTCTTAATAGTAGTAGGGTTCTAAATAAGAAGCCTCTTTTTAGCTTGGGAAATCTGAACAACAGCAAAGGACCTGGAGCATTAAATCAAAAAAATAATGTTTGCTTCATGTTTCTTTTGGGTGGCTCCTCTTGAAAATGTTGTCTTTGCAACAACAGTAGCTGGACACTAATAAAGTTTAGATGTTACATAGTTGAATTGGCTTGTCTTGGGAAGGCTTCAGTTTTCCTGGGGTGTGTGTGTTTTTCTTGTTTTAGCATTTAGTATTTTGCTGCAGTTGACCTGAACTCTGCTCTTAAAGGTTAAAGCACACATGCAGGCATATTTGATAAATGACTCTTGCTGTAAGTTTATACCAGTGATGCTGTTACATAATTGTGAGTAAGGTATGAGCGCAGCAAAAATGTGAGCATGCCTTGGTAACTCCTAATGTTGGGGGTAGGTGGCTGTGTAAAATTTGTAAGCTAGAATAATCAATATCAAACACTGTTTTCCATGGCAGAGGGATAGAAGGGTTATGTAACACACTCCTGACATTTAGTCAGTAGATTCATCTATCAAAGAAAGATGTTGCTTGGCTGTATTATTTAAGTCATATTTTGACAAATGTGCTGTTGGGTAACCCACGCTACTGCCTTGGTTATGTCAGCAGAACAATTCATGGAACTGCAGGGTGAGCTGTTCCAAGTTGAATATAACAAACAGGAGTTTGTGTGTGTGTGTGTGTGCCCACCTCAGTTTCCAGTATCTCTTGCTTCAAGGAACTTAAGAATATTTGGAAATGCTTACTGAGAATGAAAAGCTGGAGCTAATCAGGCTGCTGTTTCCTACAGTGGTAGCTGAGGTGACCTCTGTTTACACAGGACTTTGATCTCCAGCTGTTCTGTTTGCTGGTATTGTAACACTGTAATCCATTTTTTTGGATATCTTCCATCCTACTTATAAGATAAAATTCCAACACATATGGAGGAATTTTTTAAAATTGTTTCTATTTCTCTGATGCAAATGTTAGTGTTATTTATATGTTACATACATAGGTTTATATATATATATAGTAATGAGAGATAAACAGGAATGTTTACAGTGGTAAATATCCTTCCTGCCTGGCTCTACCTTTCTGAGTATGTGCTAGAAGGTACTTACAGTTTAAGCATTTCAAGTAAACTTTGAGTGATCTGTAAGTATGTTTGACCTTAGTTTTCCTTGCACTGCAGTGTAACTTAGATGATGCAGATTTGGTTTTAATGTAATGATGACAGCAGTATGTCACTAACAGTCTCAATGCTCACACTTCAGCGTTTTGCTGCTGTTATTATGAGAATAAGAGAACCACGTACTACTGCACTGATATTCAGCTCTGGGAAAATGGTGTGCACAGGAGCAAAAAGGTATGTTTAGGCATTATGAGCAAACTAACTCAGGCTGTCTTTTCTTTTGTACCATGATGCTTGTTTATGTAGACACATCAAAGTTGTACAGGTACAACTAATGTTGCTTCACAGTTACCTCAGATTATACACATTTCTACAGAAAATGCCTGTTTATGATTGAAGAGACTTCCTAATTTGTGGGGAAATGGTAGTTCTAGTTCTGAAGCGCTTTCATTCAGTCTCATAAACTGGTTTGCAGAGGTTATTATATTCATTTTTTGGCCTTGCAGTTACTTACTTTTTCTAATAATTAAAAAAATCAGCAACTATGCATTGGAACTGCTTAAATTGTAAGGATGGTGAGAGAAGAATTTTATATTTGAATAGCTTCATTCATCACAGGACAAGAGCTCCAAATCCCTAGTTCCTGTAGTCTGATCTGTTCTTAATGTGACCATTGAATGACAAGAATTGAAAACTAAACATAAGCTTAACTCTGGTGGGCAGGAGAGAAATTCTGCTCCAAAGAAGTCTGCTAGGAATCCAGAAGGAATAAACTAATGAGCAGAGATGAATGAATAGATCTGTGCAGGGGAACATTTTCTCTGCCTGGTGACACTTGAAATTCAAGTTGTCTTACTCTGCATGGGCAAAAGATTCTCTGCTGTTTACAAACCTGAAGCAAACTGAATTCTGCAACAGTGGGTAAGGCTGTGCTGTTGTATTAAACCCATGTTTGAATGCCTGGGCTGAATCAAACAGAAGATTTTGCCAGTTGGCAGATTTTTATAGAAATCCGTATTTTCTAGCAGTAGTAGTTCAAGGTTGTTCTACAGTGAAATGTTAAGTAACAATCTAATCTTAAGTGCTTAATCTTAAGTAACAGTCCCATTAGAGGCACTCTGGTCATTATTTTAAAATGTAAAAGGTATGGATTTATAATTTACTGGTTTGTGTCTCATGAACAATGAGTGCAACACTAACGGTGTCCAGGAGCCTATTACCAAAATTAGCATGAAAATCAGTCAGTGGTAGTTGTTAATTTTGGATGTAAAAATTTTGCCTGTGAACTCCCCTCTCCCTCCACACAGACTTTTTTCCCCAGTTAGGTATTTGTAGTTTAATGCTGTTTGCTTGAAGTAATACTTAACTGAGGCAGTAATATGGATATCCTTTTCTCACTTCAGTGAGGAGCAATCCAGACTGGCTGCAAGGAAGTATGCAAGAGTTGTTCAGAAACTGGGTTTTCCTGCAAAATTTTTGGATTTTAAAATTCAGAATATGGTGGGCAGCTGTGATGTGAAATTTCCCATCAGACTGGAAGGATTGGTACTCACACACCAGCAGTTCAGCAGGTAAAAAAAGGCTTGCTTATGTTTCATTCTTGTTGCATGCTATCTTAGAAGGTGACATCTGTTTAGATTATTCCCTTGCACCACAGGGAAACCTGCATATTTGTTCCCATCTCTGCACTGTCTCAGGTGTAACTGAGGCTGCCCAATGTGAACCTGTTAAAATTTTGTTTTGACAGATTCACATTGCTACCCTCCCCAAGTTGCAGGGAAGTCTACATCTGCTCTGCCAGTCTAGACTGGGCCCAGAAGATGGGGTGGAACATGGGTCTGCCAGCACATTTAAATACTCTCTCTTCTCTTACAGCTACGAGCCGGAATTGTTTCCTGGCTTAATCTACAGAATGATTAAGCCAAGAATTGTTCTGCTTATTTTTGTTTCTGGAAAAGTGGTTTTAACTGGTAAGTGAAGACAGTATCTTACTCCAAGAGGTGAGATTTAGACTGTATGACAGAGAACACACAGGGATACGTAAGCTGCCAGGTACTTTTCCTTTAGAGATGACAGTACTGAGAAAGGAGATTTAATAGAGTATTCCATGGATGGAATGTTAAGGAAACTTCCCTGTGCAGCCATCCAGCAGCCACCCTGGCAGTCAGAGCCACACCAGCTGCAGCAGGACCAGAGCCTGTTTGGAGTGGGCAGCTTCAGCAAATCCAGCAGGTGTCCTGCTTGACTCCCACACACTCCACTCATACAGACAGACCAGGTTTTCTTGAGGGCTCAGCACCAGGCTTTGTTATGCAAAGATTGAGCAGTTCAGGCCTCTTGCCTAGGTGTGCTTCACCCAGAGCTCAGCCTGCAGCTCAGCACTGCCACTGCACACACAGCTATCTGCACCATGTTCCTTAACAGATGGGAATGCACAAAGCAACAGCACATTTGGCTAGATCAAAGGAACAATCATCATGAACCCTAGTCAGGTGCGCAGGTGCCCAAAAAGCTGTAAGAATGTAAGATCTTTCTGGCAAAATCTGAAAGACTGTTTCTGTGGCTGAGCATGTGACTTTGAGCTAGCTTTTCTTTGGCAGCTTGGTTGCAGGCTACTGCCATGATCCATGATACAGCAGCCAAAGAAGGGGAGATACTTGAGCTCTAGGACATCCTCAACCTCAGGTGCTCAACCTGCTCCCTCAATTTTTTCTCATGCTGTGTCTTACTAGGAAGAAGAAACCCGCAAGACCCACAGACGAAAGAAGGATCATGTTTCTGCAGTGTGGGGAAATGCAATTCTCTGCAGTGGTCTCCACTGCCAGACCTTCCTCCCCCTGATACTCACACTGTCAAAACAAGCTCCACCAGTTAGGCCTTTCTGCACAAGCATCCTACAGGGCTGTGCTTTGTTGTTGGGTCTCTTGTGGAAATCATGTCTATGAAAATTCCATTTGCAACATAGCATTGTGGCAGAGATGCTAGTGAAAGTTTTAGCAGCTGTCAGATTAAACAGAGAAGGCTGGTAATGTAAGCTCTCTATGAAATGTGTTAGAAAGGATTGTAAAAATGGGGATTTATGGATACATGTAGGTTTTATATAGAGTTGCATTCACATACACATTCTAAAAGCTAAAATTAAGTATTTGGCAAAAGGTACAAACTAATTGAATCCCTTCTCTTTTTCCAGGTGCTAAAGTACGAGCAGAAATCTATGAAGCATTTGAAAACATCTATCCTATTTTAAAGGGATTCAGAAAGACAACGTAACAGTTTCTACACATTTCAGAGAAATCAGGGGTATATTTTAAAAGGTATTGTGTATGGCACAGCAGTAACAAGAAATGGACTTCCAGTGCAACTGCAACACCAGGACTTGGACTATTTCCCAGTTAGTGCCTACTTCCCTGATGCTCAAGGGGAACTGTTTTCTTGAGTATGTCTACTGAGTTACTGTGAGTTGCTTTACTGGGTTGTTCCTGGAGCAGCCCCTCCAACTTTTATTTATATTCTAGCTTTTAAATAGTTTTAATGCCAGTTCTATTAATAGAAAAAACTGTAAGTTGGTTTAAAGACAAATGCAACTGTGTCACTCAGTGTATAAACCACTTTAATTGCCATGTATATATGTTTTAAGTTCCTTCCATAAGACCATGGTTTTTATAATTTTCAGAACTTTAGCTTTTAAATTTTTTCAATTTTAAATTTCTTTGGTGCCAGACACATTCCCTCTTTCCAGTATTAAGCGAGATAGAATAAATTTATTAATTAAAATGGCTCACTGTACATATATATATAATATATACCTTTCTTCTCTTTCCTTCTTCAACTCCACATGTACAATAAACCCTGTTTATACAACTATGGGAACTGTCTTAATAAATTTTAAAATTACCCAGCTGGTAGAATGAAATACATTGAATTACTTTTTTTATTTAATAGATTTTTTAATAGCAGATGCACTGCTATAAGTGACGTGTTGTTTTGAGAGAATCTTAGCAGTGCTCTGGCTTGCTTACCAGCAGTCACACCCCTGGCAATGTCTACCTTGAATATTTCCAACATGTTAAAGCAAAAGAGATGACTGGTTAAAGAAGCTTGTGTTTGAGTATGTGTTGCCTTATGTTCAACAGATGAGATATAAGCAAGTCTTAAATAGCTGCACTTGACTGAAACAATAGATCCCTGCTTAGCTTCTAGGATTCCTTTAAATTACTACCTTTGTATTTTACCAGCTGTGAGAGCCTCACTATATTAGTGGTCCTGTAAAATGTCAAAGCCCTTCCAGCTGGAGTCAGCACATACATAATCTTCCTTCTGAGCGATGCTTGAAGCCTAATAGGCTCAGAGCTAAAAATAAACTTTTTTTTTCCTTCAGGAAATTTCTAGGAATAATAACCTCTCTATGACTTACACGTTATTTCAAACAGCTTTTATCTGAAACTAACCCAAATGTAAGCAATGGTCTCATTTCTAAGTTGGTGCTTCATTCCAGACAAAATTAAGTTTTGGCTGGCTTTGATACTGCTCCATTTGCACATCCTGAGTGACCTTAATCTTCAGTCTTCTCTCTACATCAGTGTCTCTCCCGGTGTGCTGATGACTGCTTTCATGGCTCTTACCAGAAAGATGCTGTTTATTAATGCAGCTGTGCAGGATATGCTCAAGCACTGTGTTGCCTTCAGTGCTGTGCCACTCTGTGCTGTGAGCTCATGAATACTCCTGTGAGCTCTGTGCTATAACTGTGTGGCTGTCCATGCTTTTGTAGGACCTGAACTATTACCAGCTTATGTGCAAAACTCTTCAACTCTTCAGAAAGCTTGAAGCCCCAAGAAACCATAGGACAGTTTTCAGCACAATCAGTCGAGCTGTATTACAGTGACTTGAGACAGTTTGCACTTTCACAACACAGACCAGGGCTTCAAACTACCCTGCTAGAAATTAGGTCCTGTGATAACAAAACCACTTCCAGGTACAGCATTCTCTGCCTGCTTATTTGAGTACTTTCAATGCCTAAATGATTCCAAAACCCCCATGGTGGGCCCCACAGAGTCACAGGTAAGCAGCCATGATTGGTTGGAGCAGGGGAGGGAGTATGTAACTGAAGTCAATTTTATAGGGAAACACACAAAAAAACCTTTTCTGCAGATACTGCCATGGCCATAGGAGTAGTTAAGCAACTACCACAGTAAAGTTCAGCATTATGGTTTCACTATTCTCTTGCCTCAGCTATTTGCAGTCATACAGTGGGAGAATCCCTGCAGAGGACACTTGTTTTTAAACTTCACCAATGATGGCAGAGAGTTTAGGTACAATTCAGCCTGAAAATCTGCTGCTACAGGCAGTGTGTAACAGACAAATGTGTTCTGCTAGGGCTGACTTTGTTTAAACTGCTTCTGCACCAGGTAACTGAGTGAAACTACTGCATGGGGCTAATAGTTTTAAAGTCAGATAAAACACTTAAATTTTGTGCATTTTACCTCAGAACATGGGACAAACTCCCAAGTTGGGTTTTTGTACCTGCTGAGAAAGGGAAGTAATTTAAATTCCACAGCAAAAGGTTATGTAGCTTTATTTTAGCTGACTCCTGTACAGCTCTTCAACATAAGCACTGGAGTGGGTTTACAGGAGTCTGCTTTTCTTTGAATGAATGTTAATTTTTGAGTAGCCTGATGAAAATCCTGACAGACTACAATCTTTTAAGTTTTTGAAGTTCTATTACCAACAAAAGATAATTTCACCAATCCAAAAGTTTTTCATCTTTATTTAATAAACTTCCAGAAATGAGATTTGAAATAAACCTTTCTGGACAAATGCATCTGGCTTCATTACCAGGTTGAAGTAAAAGCTCCTCTGGAGCACAAGAGAGGCTGTCAAGGTCTAGTTACAGCAGTTTTATCACTGTTACAAGATGCACTGTTATCAGTGACTTCAACTACCTGTTTGCACAGTGCAGAGATGCAGTGAAACAAATCAAGTACTCCATTTGGATGACTCAACTTCATAAAGTACAGCCCATGGCCCAGTCTTGTTTCCATATGAACTCTTCCAGGTATTCACTCTCCCCGCCGCAGCTGTCAGCACAAGTGTACACCACCAGCGTTCCCCAGTCAATGCTCTCTCCAAGGCTGTCAACCTGAAGGTGATTCAGGAGCTGTGGCATAATCTTCAAGGAAAACCAAAAGGTTTAGAGGCAGGCCACAGACTTCTCCTCTCTCCCCACTTCTGAAGAACAGTCCTGCATTTGGCGTAAGAATTTATATTCTCTTACACCAAAATCCCAACTGAAGTGACTATGTATATGGCAGCTCAAATAAACCAAATTTGGAATTCTAGGTAAGTTTTATCTGGCCTTATAAGACTTGCCTGATTTGTGAGCCTCCCACCATTTGAAATTCCATTAGTAACTATGTTTTGCCTTTCCATGACATAAGTGTGTTCATCCTACATACACCTCTAGCATTCAAAGTTCTACAGCGAAATGCTTCCAGCCAAACTTATTTATAATGCACACAATGAATTGAAAATCATTATAAAAGTAAATAAAGGCTCTGTACAATCATTTAGTGTAGTTAGTTTGTTGCAACTTCAACCTTCTTGCTCAAATTACAAGCCAATAATTAGATCCTGAGTTGGAAATACATTACCTGTATTATTTTTGAATGAGCTTACATACCTGGAATTCAAATATCCTTTTGGCACCACACACACAATTTGGGATATCTTTTTCTTCAGGCCTATTTTCACCTGATACCCAGAGTGGACCTTCTCCTCCTCTGCAGTATCTAATAATCTGAAAGACAGCAGAAATTTAAGTTCTCGTGACTGTCCTTTCATCTTGCTATAAAATAGGTGTTTAGTGACACAAAGCTGTAGATAGAGCAGAAAAAGGTCAGTTCTTTAACAACCATGGCAAAACATAATTTGCAAATGCAGCATTCTAAATAAGACAGGTTGCTTATAAGAGTTTTCTTAACTATGTGAATCATGCAAGTATTCATACCATATTTTTTCAGTGATCCAGGGAGATCATTTGTAATTCCCTAACCAAGGGATTCAGAAATGCAAGGTTGTGTATGTTACAGTCTTGAGACAGAGAAAGGGCAGCTGGAGAATTAGCGCACAGACCTGCACACTGTTAGGAATGCAATCCAGATCTTTCTGTCTGCAGTTCTGCATCTAAATACAAGCAGACTAGCCTAACGTTCCAAAAGGTATTTTCATATCCTTTGTTTTTCAGTTATTAGCAAATCACACATGATCAGCAAAAGGACACTTGGACAGATCAGTCAGTAGAGAGATGGTCAGAGAAAGTGAGGCACATACCTAAGGCAGAGAAGGGAACAGACTCAAAGTCTCCTACTTTCTGAGTGTGCACCTTAACCCCTCAGCTACCAGGCAAAACATGGAGAGAATTTCTTCTTCACCACTTTGATGGATTTAGGACTGTGTCTTCTCTGAATCAAACCAGGGACCATGGTTTTGTTTGACAATGTAGCTTTTTAGCCTTTTGCAGTAAGAAATAGCATGGGGGAAAGATTTCTGTTTTAAATAGTGGAAATTCTAAAGCCATTCTTCAACCTTAAAAAGAGCCAAGCCACCCCCCAATGCAGCTGGTGACACTGACAGAGCTCTTCTCTGCAGTTTTTGTTCTAGCAGGGCTGCAGGCTGGAGAGCAGCGCAGTGGTTCCCATGTCCTTTGGTTTGAACCATGTCTCAGGATGGTGGCTCCTTCCACACTGGAGGGGATTCAGCACCCTCGTGCCACCTCATCCTGACCAGCAGCTGTTTAAGGTGGCTGAGCAGGTGCTAAACTCTTACTTGGGCACAAATTAAGTTCAGCACATAAGGAATATGAGAGGGTGTGGGCTAGGTGCATAGAGGATGAGGAGGCATCCCTGTTTCTAACTAGTACAAAACACTGCATGTGCAGCAGGATGCTGTGTCAGAACCACTACTTTCAAAGGCTGCCCCATCTTCTGACCTGCTCTGGCTCAGCAGCTACTCGTTTTTTAAACATTTGGAAGATCTTTTCTTCTGCAGTCTCGTGTTTTGCCATTGCTTCCAATGCCTCTTCATCTAAGGACTGAAATGCTCCATCTAAGCAAGGAAAAAGAACAGTAAAACTTACAGGCTGATACAAGACACTGAAAGTTTAAAACAGTATTAGCACGTGTAAATTTATTTTGCTTCATAAGTCATTCCTGGCATAAATCTAAGATTTGTTTTCTTTTCATGGCATGTTAAGATTTGGTCATACACAGGTCCATTTACTAGTTTTAGCTGCATTTTAAACATAGATGTCAGTACTGAATACTGGAAAGGGAAGGAGTTAATCTGCTGAAGTTTATGGCTCCCAGCAGATATCACTGAGACTACAGAACTTTCAGGACACCACATGTGAAAAAGGCCTGCATGCTGCTCATGTGCCAGGCTTCAGTTTTTAGCACTGAAGAGTGTATCTGTTACACTCCACACCCACATCAACTGGGGCCACTAAACACTCTTGAGACAGCTTTGGACCACAGCAAGGGACCACCAGGAACCCAGCATCCTTCCCTGGCACCACCACAAACTCTCCACCCTGGGTGTCTTCAAAGACAGTGTGGTTGCAGCAAACCCATTGTGAATTTAGGAGGAGCAGGGAGGAAGGAGCCTGCACTTCAACTGCACCTCAACAGTTAAAATATCCTCAAACCAGTTCTCTGCTAGCATAGAGAAGAAAATTTTATTTTCCATAAAGTAAGACAAATTGAACTAAGTCAAGCCAAGACAATCTAACAATGTGCTGATTTCAGCAGCATCCAGCAGCAGGTGCTCAGTCCTGTCCTTCTCACTTGAGATGTTCCTGACCTATTGGAAGCACACAGGGACACAGTGTAACTCCGAGCTATCTGCAGCAACAGCTGCTTCAACAGCTCCTGGGGTCAGAGCTTAGTAAGTCTCTCCCAGAAAAGCAACTTACATTATGGGATGTCTACAACAAACTAGCATTGCAAATGACTGCACATTTAGCCTTTTTTCACCAGAAGTTTACAAGGAACACTTAAAAATCACAGTGTTTGATATTTTAAAGATGTGATAACAGGCATAACCAGGAAGAATTACAGGCAGCATGTTATTTCTGACCTGCAGTGCCTGCAGCTCCAAGTTCCTCTTGTTCTTTTGCGTCCTTTGATGTATCTTCAGCTCCTTGTTCATCATCAGTGCTGTCAGCAGGAAATTCTGGTTCCTCAGGTTCTATCAAAATTTCATATTCCGGAAAAAGGAATTCGTTATGCTCTGGAATTGCATTTGCCAAGTCATCTAGAAAACAGAAGACAGACACCACTTCACAACATCATCTCGTATTTCACGTCCTTCTCCCCAAAAGCTACACAGCAAATTGCATAGCAGAAGCATTGCATGAGCAAGAAAGATTTACATCACTGCTAGACCTGACCTGAAGGTAAGAAACTGTTATGTTAAGGACAGTGGAAAACTGCAACAGGCGTCCTGTTGCTTTGAACCTCTGTAAATCCAAGTGGCGTGGAAGGCAGACCAAACAGTGCTAGCAGCAGCATTTAAGAGCTCAGGAGCTGCGGCTCGGCAGCTCGGGGCAGTATTAACCACGGCTGGCACGGGTGTCAGTTCCCGTTGCAGAGGCCCCCGATGGCGGTGTGTGCGGACCCACCTCCGGCGGCGTGCTGCCCGCAGGAGCGGCGGTGCCCGCGCCGCCAGTCCAGCGCCTGGTGCTCGGGCCCGCAGTAGGCGGCGCGGCGGCAGCGCCCGCAGCAGCGCGGCCCGAGGCAGCCGCACACGCGGCACAGCGCGGCGCCGCTGCCCAGGCGCCGCGGGGGCGCGGGGGCCGGGCCCGGGGGCGGCTCCTCGGGGGGCGGCTCCTCGGGGTACGTGTCGTTCCGCCGCGGCAGCTGGCTCCGGAACACTGCGGGGAGACGCGCCGGTCAGCGGGGCGGCGGCCGGGGCCCTCGCCCCGTCCCTCCCCGCGCCCCCGCGCCTCACCGCGGAAGGGCCCGCCCGGGCCCGCCAGGCCGTAGCAGGCGGCGCCGCGGCAGGCGAACACGAAGAGGGTGCGGTGGAAGGCGTCGGCGCGGCCGGGCAGCGGCGCGTACAGCTGGAGCAGGAAGGCGCAGGGCTGCTGGCAGCGGCCGCAGCGCAGAGCGGCGGGCCCCGGCAGCCCGGCCTCGCCCAGCCACGCCGGCCGCCCCCCGACCTTGCTGGGGAAGTAGGTGCTGTGCAGCCGCCAGGCACCGCCCGGGCCTTCCGCCGCCGCCGCGAAACCCAGCTCCACGCCGGGAGCCATGCCGCTGCCCGTCCGCCAACACGCACCGAGAGGGGCGGGCCAAGCACCGGCCCCGCCCGGCGCCGCTCGCCCAGCCCCGCCCCAGCTCCGTTCCGGGCTCAAGCCCGCCCCGGCTCCGCCTTTGTAACGCGGCAGCAGGGAGCGGACTGGGAAAAATAAAAACCCTGGAAGACGC